TAAAAGATTTAACAATATTGTTTATCAATTGGAATTTCCACCATGGTGGTACATTCACCAATTTTTTCATCTCATGCTACTCAAAACTTTTTGACATAACACCACCTGACATTCAATTGAGCTTCCATCACACTCATAGGATTATCACTTGATTATGTAGCCAAAAACTATCCAAAATGGAGGGAGCTAACAACTACATATATAGCTCGATCGGAGGACTAATAGTCAAAATATGAGAAAAATCTAACATTGACCATGATGATCAAGGTCATACCTAAAAAAAAACATAGAGATTGTTTCAACTATAACTGATAGAAATCAAGCACACCACACCACAAGTCAGCTGTAAGCTCGGTCGAGGAAGAAGCCAACATGGCATAAGGAATATCACAGAAAAAATAGATAACACTTATATTAATTTTTAATTAATAAGTACAAAAAATGCTCTTAAGTTAAGATATTTTGATAGTATTATCCATATGTCAAAGTCCTACTGGCTGCTTAGAAAGGTAGATAAAAAGGTGTCTTATAAAACGATGGAATGAAAAATAAAAAAGGAAATAGTAAGGCATGTGCAAAATTTTCTATTCTCTTCTTCATCCTCCTCCTCCTCCCTCATTGATTCCCTTTTGGGCCAATCTCAATTAGTGGGCTATAAGCTACTAAGATGCAACCAACATGGCACAAGGATTTTCACATGAGAAATAGATAGAAACTCTATAATTTTATATTAGAAAAACACAAATGCTCTTAGGTTGTTAAGATATTTTGAAAGTAGTGGCAAAATTTTTAAAATGGTTGTTAGATAGATGTTTTGGTGGAATTGGTACTCGTCCCAAAATAGACTAGTCATCATTTAACTTATCTTTAATAAGCTTGGCAAGTACGATAGATTGATCTAATGATGTAGGTTGATGAATGTGCACTTCTTTGTAAATACTAAAAGACTGATTAGAAAAAAACTTTATAAGAAGAGTTCATCGTTGTTGATTATTAGATGTTAGAGTTGCTCGAATTGAAGATAGTAATCAGCCACTATGGAGGTTTGAGTTAGTTTGTTCACCATGGAAATCATGGTATTTGAAGGTTCAAGGCAATTCCATAGCATGTATAAATGATTGCCATGTTTGAAATTGATTTGTCTTGTAGAGTCACAGGAACCTGTTGTGCTATTGAGGTGAATGAAAGTTAATGTTAGCTTCTCTTCATTGGAAATTTAGTGGAATGAATCATTCTAGGAGGTTCTCTAAATCCATGGTTTGGGGCTGCCTATAATAAAATGAGGATTAAAAATTTTTATTATTTTAAACTGGTTTCCTGCAAAGATGTTTATGGTTAAAGTTGTTGGTGTTTGGAAAATTTGTGAAAATATTAAATGTAAAGAAGATGATTGGTTATTAAAATCCAGCATTTTAGTCCAAATTGAATATCAAGCTTTGTTTTGGCTATATGAGGTAAATGTTCTTCCAAAGATGGATAAACATCCATAACCTTTGCTTTGGATATTGTATTGTCTCTCAATTATTGTATTAGAAGATCCGTGAAAGGTGATGAGGAGGATCAACATAGAACAATAATTGTTAAAACTTTCTATATAAAAAAAGGACAATTCGACCAATTCGAGCCTAACCTAAAGTTTTAATGGAACAGCAATGAGGAATAGTGAATATTGTCACAATATATTGGAGTAATATCAATAGGAATCTCAAACTCTTAATAAATATATTGAATCAAACTTATACATGTTGTAGCAATTGTCAAAATAAAATATTTAGTTTTTACGGCAAAATGAGCAATGGTGAACTTTTTTTTGTATTCCAAGAAATAAGAGTGTTGCAAAAAAAAAAACAATAACTACTTGTGGGTTACAACCAATAGAATTGATGGCCCAATTGAAATTTGAATATGCATGAAGCATGCGATATTCTCTTTAAATAAATAGAACATGAATGAAAATTACCTTGATGTATTAAATAATACATTAAAGATGTAGAAGATGGCACTGTAATATTGAATGATGCATGGACTAACAAAGTTTATTCATGATAAAAGATAAATTAGGCCTTGTAATGGTAAGATATTAATTACTTGACCAATTAATAAAGTAATTTTACATTAGAGATGTATTGTAGTAGATGCTTCAATAAGGACACATTTGGTAAGAAGGGGGTTGGAAAGAGATGAATTTGATCATTTCATTCATATGAAGGATTTTCTTGCATACTTTGATTAACTTGTAAGATGTACTTCGAGAGTAAAAAAAAGCTGTATGTCAAAAAAGTATGATAAGTCCTAAATTTTTTAGTTGGAATCTTTGATGTAGGTTTTGTAATTGAGTTGAGTTAGTTGTTTAGTTGTTACTCGTAGAAAGGATATCATCCATAGAAATGATAACGTAGATACGAGTATTCGCTGAGTGATGGATCATTAAGGAAAGTTCGATTCAGCTGCAAGAGAAGTCTTGTTATTCAAGATAAATAGATTGAGTTACATACGTAGCTATAACACATGCTTAATGCTACAAAGGACCTTTTTAAATAGACATACATAATTTAAAAATTAGAGATCCTTGAACCCTTTGAGTCGCTCCATGTAAATAGTACCATTATGAGAGATATGCAAAAAAAGTACTACAAATTTTCAATTGAATAACCTGAGAATGAAAATGAAAAGCTATCATTAGCAACAAATGGATAATAGGAAGTTTGGCATCTAAGTTGAATATTTTGATATAATAAATTGTATACATTTATTGTGCCCTTGAACCACTAAGCAAGCTTTATGGCATGTGATAGAACCATCTAAATTGCTTTTTATTTTTTAACTTCATTTGCTTTTGAGTACTTTTATTTTGTTTTGACAATATTTGGGAGATGGAGAAGGATTTGTAAAGTCGTTAAAGTGGTTGGTGGTGATGAACATTCAATTATGGAGAGTATAAAAGTATTATTCGAGACAAAATTATTTTTATTAGGCCTTAAACTTGATAAGTTGGAGGTGGGTTGGCTAGAAGTTAGAGGAAGATGGAAATGTGTAAGTGAACCGAGTGTGGCATTAGAAAATGAAAGCAAATAACTTATCATGTGAGATTCAACAATTTGAAATTGTATTGAGATATAGAATTTATTAGTGACAAATCATAGTATACTTTAGGTATAATAAGTAGACATTGGAGATAATTATGACAGTTTTGCAACCTAAACACGAGAGGGGAATGTTCAGCAAAGTTTTGCAAGCACTGTATTAGCAAACTTACGCAAGCATAAATGATGAGGTGAGGTGAGGTGCAATCAAGATTACATTAGTGTTTGTAAGGTTCTATGAGGGTTTTGGGATCGTGCATCTTGAGTTCATCCTACTTGAATGAATCAAGAGAACTCAAAATATATGAAAATGTCATAATGGGTGTATTCTGAATTTCACACAAAAGTTATTTTACATTTATTTTTCTCTATATCAATTATTTATAAGGTTTAAAACATCATTTCAAATGGAATTCACTCTTAATCACATAGAGAACCAACACTTAGTTTTTTGGGTGATCCATTTGTCTTGGCTTCAAAAAACATAAGTTCTTGTATGGAAACTCATTGTTAGGGGGCGTTTGGCCACAAGAAGGATTTAGTAAATTTGGATTTATTAAATTCGCCCCTTTGCTGGATTTATTAAATCCAAGTTTAACATGAATTGAAGGCAAAATTAGGACATTAAATCAGAAATTTCATAAATCGACGGCACTTGAGATTTTTTTATATTTGGCTATATTTAGTAAATCTGATCTATAAATACTGTTAAAATGGTGCTGCCAAACATCCCCTTAGGAATCTTTTAAATATGGCAATACAATTAATCTAATAAAAAGTTTTACTCTTAAAAAAAATGATAAAAGAAAGAAATTACATGACAACAAAGAGTGAAAACAAAATATAATAAGTTTTTTATATAAAAAAATATTATTCTTAAAAAAAAAAATGTACTCGTGCTAAATCATCATTGATTTGTTAGACAACTAAAAATTTGATCTTCAAAATTTAAATAATTCATCTAGTCGAAGTAAAATAAATATTTAATGTTTTTTTTTTAAAGTAAAGAAACACTCTCTTAATATTTCATCAACTTATCTCAATATTTAATTTATCATTTTTTATATTTATTTTAAAATAAATTTGGGAAGAAGTATAACAATTTAGCGATATGTATGTAAATATTGCCCCCAAAAATTTAATAATTAAAAAAGTTTTTCCTCTTATCTAGGGTTGTCAAAAAAGCTCGAGGTTCATGAACAACTCATATTCAGCTTGCTAAAACAAATGTTTGTTCGTTCATGTTCAACTCGTTTTGACTAAAAATAATTAAATAATAATATTTATCTATATTAATTCTTTCTGTATTTAAAAAGTACTAAATTTTATTATTTTTTAAAAATCATTTATGTGATATAATTGTAAAAAATATAATTTTTAGTGTTAAATATATAGATTGGATTGGGAAGCATGTAATCACTCATAAAATCATCTTGGGGTGATCCTTTTCCCCCATTCCGCCTATAGCCCCCCATATTTAGCAAGTGGGTGATAGATATGTAAATACATGAGAATTGTATGGTATATATGTAAATGCTCCAAAATTTAACCTAGCTAATCTGGGAGAGCATAACAAATACTTATATTTCACGAATAATTTTGTATAGAAATATTTGCACAAAAATAAAGTTTGTATTTTTATTTCAGAGAGCTCCTCTTGAACTTGCTCTCTCATCACTGAAAAATTATTCCATGCGGATCGGCGTCCGCACGCAGCTTGCGTGCGGACCGATCCGGACCGTAAATCACATGATTTACGGTCCTGATGTATTTCGGTGGGCCCCACCTAAAATTTTTTATTTTTTTTTTAAAAAAACGGAAATAATCCTGACCGTAGATCACCGTGATCTACGGCCAGGATCGAACACCGCATGCAGAGATGCATGCGATGTCCGCACGCAATAATCTCTCCTCATCACTAATCTCTTTTGTAGTTTTATTTCAGAGAGCTCCTCTTCAACTTGCTCTCTCATCACAAATCCCACAAGCTGACGAATGTGAGATCATCTTTCTGAAGTAGCCAGCAACTCTAGGGCCCCCCCTCTCCCTTCTTTTAATCCATTCAACCTGTTGAATAAAGAAAGTAGAGAAAGTATGGTAGGGCTACCAGACTTCCGGTCAGCGAAGCCGGCAACCGTTTTTCTTTGCTTCTAGGGTTTTCATTCCTCCATCTGTCTTCATCGATTGAGTTTATTGTTTGCGGAATTGTTGCATAAAGTTAATGTTTTTTTGATCGGCGAGTAGGGCTTTTTGGTTGCCGTTTCCCTTCGTATCGTGTTCGTGCGGTTGTGGGCTTCTGTAGTTCTTTTTTAAAAAAAAAAAATTATTTCATTTGATAATTAAAGGGGGAGTTGTATTACCTGTGCTGTTTCCTGATTGAATTTTATAATTTCTTTTGGCGTTTTTTTTATTGAATGCTTTTTTTGACTCATATTCCGTTGCTGAATTTTCCGTTTTTTTCTTTTGGCTCCATTTGGTCGATAGTCTAGTGAATTTCATGTCTTATGTAGCTTTAGTTGAAGAAATATTATAGAAAAAGAGCTTTTTTTAGGGTTCTCTCCGAGTATTTGGTTTTAGTCGGCGAATTCAATTGCGAAATTGAAAGTTTTGTTTGTTTTTGTTTTTCCGTTCGGTTTTTAAGATATATTTTCCTTGGAGCTATTTTGATTGAGTTGGCTCTGCAATATGGATTCAAAGAGAGAGGATAAGTCTGAAGCTGAGATGAAGCAGTCGAAATTGAAGGGGTTCGGAAGCTATAGTGGCAATGATATGTACTTTAGGGCAGATAAAATTGATCTCAAGAGCTTGGATATTCAGCTGGAGAAGCGGCTGAACAAGGCCTGGAGTAAGGATAAGATTGAGAACTCTAAGGAGGAATGGGAGATTGATTTGTCTAAACTTGAAATTCGGTATGAGGTGGCTCGAGGAACTTACGGTACTGTTTACAGGGGCGTTTATGATGGTCAAGACGTTGCAGGTACTTAACCTCATTTTCTTTATGTTTTGTTACTGTAGAACTAATTGATTGATAGTTATTTGTTATGCAAGTTGCCATGCTGCTGCGGCAGTTCTATTTTTAATTGACCGATTCATTCAATCGTCGTTCATTTGAAGTTTTTACATGATTTCAACCTAGAAAATCTATAGTTTTAATATAATTTCTTATGGAGTTTGGACCTGATGAATTTGCACAACATATGCATGATTGGCATGATTATATTCAGTGGAAGTTTGCTGTTAATTATTAAATTTTTAAGCTCATTATTTCTGACTTGAAAGAATCATTATTATTTGCTTACTTTATCCTAACTATTGGGGGTCAACCCATCATGTATTTAAATTTTTTTTTCATTTTTGGTGAGTTAAAAGAAGCATTCCACATCACCTTGAGTTTGCTTGTCCACTTGCCTTCCTAACTCTCTCTAATCATAATTTAATGAAGTTTTTTAATAGTATATTTTCTATCCTTCATCGCACATGTCCAAACTTCCCAAGTTTATTTTCATTGGCCTTATATTTAATAGGTCATTCCAACATTTTCTCTAATATAATCATTTTTTTTTATCTACAAATTCTAGTTTTTGCCACACACCTATCTTTAAATTCAGTTTATGTTGATCATTGGTATAAACTTATGATAATTGAAAATTCTTTATTAACCTCACAATTACTTATAATACTAATCAGCATTCCATCATACATATATTAGTAATGTCAACATATCTTAGATGCACAATTTATCTTAAAGCACACAATTACTTCTTAAAATACTCAATCAGATGCCTTCTCAAGATCAAAAGTCAAAAAAAAAATGAAGATTATTTTTCTTTGTTCACTTCTCCATTAATTGTCTTAATGTGAAACTTGTTTTTATCATTTATGAAACCAAATTAGTTATATGAAATTGATATAATTTTTCTAAGGTGATAGTCTTTTAATTTTTCTTTCATGCCTCTATTGTATGAATAGTGAGTTTAATTTCTCTATAGTTAGCATCTTCTTAAACATTATTATTGGTCTTAAATATTGACACTAAGGTGCGTCTTCAATCATTTGACATTCTCTTAGTTTTAAAAAGTTATTGAAATATTTTTAAATAAACAATTCTACCATCCCTTATCATTCTCCATATCTCATTATGTATTTTATAGGAGCCCAAAGCCTTATCTTAATCCATTTTTTTAGTACTAAATCTACTTTACCTTTTTTGGATAAATCTATAATGTACATCACTGTAATGTTTGTTATGATCTTCAAAAATATGTTCTTTATTAAATTTTTCATTTAGAAATTTCTCAAATTAACATATTTATCTTTTTTATGTTTTTGTATTTTTTTTAATCATTTAACTTGATTGAATTCCTTAGAACCCTTATCTTAGTTATTCTATATAGCTCATTTCTTCCTTTAGTACTAACCTAATATATGTCAAAAGTTTTTGCTTTTGCTTTACAGACTACCGTTTTGCAATACTTCTCGTTTTCTTATAATCACTATAATTCTTAGTATTATTTAATTATTTCCAACTTTTTAAAATGCATTTCTTTTTCTTAATAATCCCTTGTACTTCCTCGTTCGACCACCAAGTCTACTTATATATCTATGATTTATTGTGGGCCTCCTAAAATTTTTATAGCAATCCTATTAATAGAATTAACCATTTTGCCCACATCATATTAGAATCAACTTATGAATTCTAGGTTACCTAATTTAGCAACATATATTGAAAGAGTAATAATTTTTAGCCTTTTGAATTTCACCATCTTTATAGTAGAGCTGTAATTCTTTTTTATTTTTTTCTTTATACTTTTAAAATGTAAATTCATAAGCACTATTATGTATTGTATGGTCAAGTTTTCTCTTGGAATCACCTTACAATCTTTGCAATTATATTTTTTTCTTTCTTTCTAAGCAAGAACTAATTTATTTGTTATTTTTTTACTCTCCTTTTGCAAGTAAGTGGGTGTTCTTCTTATTTATTAATTGTTTTTTATGTTGCAAAAACATATATTATTGTGAAATCAATTGTGATTGCTTTTATTGTGTTTATATACGTCGTATTCCATTAGCATCATGTATTCTTTTATCCATTTTACAAAAATCTATATGTCTATTTATATCACCTCTAATAGCCTTTTTTTTCCCAGTAGATATATATTGTAGCAATTCATCAGTTTGTTTCCAAAATTGATTTTTTTAACACCCCATTAGTTTAGTGACATGCTCATGCTATAAACTTAAATTAAATTATCAAATTACTAAATTTATTATTTTATAAATAACTTTTCTATTTATTTAAATCTAAATATGAATGAACAGGTTGTTTATTTATTTTAATTTCTTAGCAGTTATTTATATGAAACTGATCCATCTTTTAAAAGATTGCATAAACATTAAAGCCCTGAGCCTAAATCACCTTTGTCTTTCATGGTGTCTCTATCTTTATATCTCCACTGATTGTGCTAGAGACTTGTTCTCTACTTCTTATTTCTTTTCTTTGCTCGCTCATTGCCTTCATTGAAGCATTATTCAATTTTCATTTTGAAGCATTTTTAATTATATATATGAATCTCAATTGAACTTCCTAGTTAGAATATGAATCATATGGTTATTGGATTTGGAATATCTGTAATTAATTTTGTTTTGTATTATATTAATTTTTTATCATTTTTTTTATTTACAAAATACTGAAAAGATTGATTTCATATACATATATATATATATATACATATAT